TATTTTTCCATACGGGGTTTCACTTCAAAAGCCTTGTCTACTGCTGGTTGACCTGATGCATGGTGAGACCCCAACTCAAGGCATTCACTGAAGCCTCATTTCAAGCAATACAGGCCAAAAACATGGCTTTGCGGCGGGCTGGGCAGACCCAGCTTTCTGTGATTCTGATCTGAATATCACGTGTAACTGGAATCGCACAGCATTGTCTTTCTGTCTGCTTCCCTCACTGAGCGCAACGTCCTCGAGGTTCTTGTGACGGCGTGCGTCTGATGTCCCCCCTCTTTGAGGCTGACTACTCCACCACGGCCACACCACACTGTTTATCCAGTCCCACCAGTGGACGTGTGGGTGGCTGTTCCAGCCACGGTATCACTGCCACCAACACGGGTGTGCAAGCATCTAGAGATCCTGCTGGCTGTCCTTTGGGTCCATACACGGAAGTGGGATGGCTAGATCATATGGCAATTCTACTTTTAATTCTTTGAGAAACTGCCACTTTTTCACAGCAGCTCCACCAGTTCCATTCCCACCAGCAGTGCACAAAACTCCCCAACACTTGCTTTTTTCTGTTACTTTGGATAGTGGCCATTCTGAAGGGTGTGAGGTGGCACCTGACTGCTTGGCTTTGCACGCCCGATGCTGAGCGCTTTGGCATGAACTGTCAGACATCTGTACACCTTCTTGGAAAATGTCTGTTCCGGCGCCCCCCTTTCGGCTGCCTGCCTGCCTTTCTCCCCTTTTTCTCCTTCCCCTCAGCCTTTTCTTGAAACCACTTAAGTCACGGCCACAGGACAGCCTTTTCCCTCATGAACTCTGACCCTCTCACAGAACCCAACTACTTCCGGCGGGTTGAGACAAGAATCTGGCATGCCTCCCAATTATTATTTACATTTCCCAGAGATAACTGAGAAATCTGGATGCAAGAGCGGATCAAGCCCACTTGTCTCCGGGTGGGAACTCTCACTGGAGGTCAGAGCTGTGCAGCTGTATCTCTGGGCCACTTTGTCCATGAGGACGTTAACCACGGCCACCCCTCCCTCCTCACGCCTGAAGGCTTAATTCGTCTAGAGCCTCCTGCCAGTGCAGAGCAATGCCCAGCCTCCACCCCAGAAAGGACAGCCGTCCACCCTCTCAAGTACACTTCCCCCTCTCCCAGCCTGACCACTTGTGGACACAGAATGCAGACGCTCCAAGAGTGCAGGCATCTCTGCCAAAGCTCTTAAAATCTGGACACACAGCGCCCGCGGTGATGAGGTCCAGTTCCGGTTTTACAGCCACGTTCAGGAGGGATGCCAAACACCGGTAACATGCAACATCGGATCTGACAGATCAGAGCACCAGCCGTCAGAGTGGGTCAGCACCACCGAGGGGACTTCTGGGAACCACATCCCTGGGCCCTGGCCCTGTGTTTCCGGTCAGGGGGGCCACGGTGGGACCGGGTGTTTCCTTGCCAGCAAGTCCCTGAGCATGGCTGCTGCAATCCAGGGACCACCCTAGGAACCACGGCCCCAACAGGCCACTGAGGCCCTGGCTGCCCCGTGAACGGCCTGCCCAGCACCTGGCCCGTGGGAGGTGCTCACTGAACGGCTGCTATCGGCTCTTGCTCCTCCTCATCCTTCTTTGCTGCTACTGCCCTCATCTGCCCACTAGACTGCACCTTCCTGCTCAGAAACCCGGTCAACAAATTAACCCCGACTGAGGAAAAGGCCTGCTCGGTGAGGCAACCATCCATCAGCAGCACAGGAGCAGCAAGGGGCCGCAGGAGTGCACCTATCAGCAGGCCCAGGCCAGGGATGCTGTGCGGTGTCACCGGTGGGGGGTGACTACATGACACCTGGGCCCCAGAGGCTCAGCCTTTGCAGCCCCAAGCCCCTCAGGCCATCCCTCAAGAGAAGCCCGGTGCTCACGAGCCCAAGTTAAGAGATGGATGCTGGAGCTTCCAGAACACTCAGTGGCTTACCAGCAGGGGCCAGTGTTTTCTGAGGGTTGTCTTCGCATCTGCCCCTCTTCCTGGGCACCGAGGACCTGCAGGCAGCTCAAATGCATACCTCTTCACAACCTAATAGCTGAATGTGCCCTCCACACCCAACTGCTGCTTCAAATACCCCACGTGGTCAGACCAGGGCTAAGCCTGCGTGAAGACCACAGCTGGCGGCTGAGGGGCCTGCTGCAAAGTCAGCGAATCCCAATTACAGCACAGTCATCAATACAAAGCCACCAAGTATACATACACCAGTGAAAACTTTGAACTGAGGAAAGGATGTCATCAAAAGTGACATCCTTCCTGACAGGTCCGGCACACACACAGCAATCTAACCAATCTGAGTTGCAGGCTTGGCTCTTCATCAGTTTTCCAGCCCTTCGGGCTAATTCAGACTCCCATTGCTCATCAGGGGGTTTCACTGAATCTCACTCCTTTCAAAGATTCTTTTAACTCATCTGATTTCAAAGAAAGCTCATAGTCATTTTACAAACATTAACTTTTCCCCAAGTGCCAGCCATTCTTGCTGGGCACCTGACAGGTGCTGACTTATAGAACTACAAGGATTACGGGACGCAGCTAGCCTAGGCTAACTATTTTACAAAGGAACAGAGGTCCTCAGAAATGGGACAGTTTATCTCGGCTCCAGCTCCGGGGCAAGCTGTGACCCCGTCCCCCCATGTTGGCCTCCCCGACACGCTCTAAGCTCAGACCCTAAAGTGGAAGATTAAAACATGACTGGTGGTCAGCACTGCGTTGAGGCCTAATTGGGAGTCTCAGGTATTCTAGGCCTGCAAAATGCCAGGCAACAGTTACAAATAAATTAGCCAAGTGATAACTGTTCACAGGTCACGCTGGGTTCTGTCAAGGAATGACTGAAAACTGAGTCAGCAGGGACTTGTTCCATTTGCAAGAGCATGGTTGGCTGTTTCAGACGCAGACAGTGAAGCGGCAGCCTCGGCTGAGTGTTATTGAGCAGGAACTTGGTGTCATCTGTAAAATTATCAAAGATGCATTCAGACTGAACTTCATCATAATCACTCACTCACCCGCTGTTGCTATTGAGCAGAGTGAGAACTGAGTTCAAGCATTACGGCTTCTCAGCAATAGGAATCTAAGGAACCAGGACCATCTCTGGTCATCACAGTCTATTTTTGTTTTAGACTGGTTATATTGTATTCGTACAAATTTTTATAAATGTCAAGTCTAGTGCCTAGTGATCTAACATTAGGCATCCCAGTGCCTCAACAACTCAGCATGCTCTCCCCTTAGGAATTCTGCCCAGTCTGGGCTCCTTCATCAGGCCTACAATATTGCATGAATCAGGGAGATTGGACAGGGCTCAGACAACTAAAGGGGAAAAGGAAGGTTTGTAATTACTTCCCATAACAAATACACACATTCATTCTTGCAGGCTTGAGATCTAACTTTGTGAAAATATTCTACATATTTAAGTTTCTCTTTGACATCAAGTTTACTAAGGAAAACTGTGATGGTTATTTAGCACACTAGCCCCCAAAGTATTTTGTTGTGCTCCCCATCTAGCAAAATTTTTGACCAAGTTATGTCCAATACATGTACATTGTTGTTATGGGATGCACAACAGAACTAGTAAGTATGGACGCTGTTATAAAACACAGGTATTTTAGATGGAGAAAAATAGTAACAGTACATAAACCTTTTTGTTCACCAAAATACTAATTTTAGTGACAGCAGTATGATTCAGTTTTTTTTAAACCTGGTTTATTATCTTGTGATTCAGCAATTTAAACTGATTGTTAGGTTTATGTTGATACCGGATTTTAACAAACAGCACAGCTAAAAGAAGATTCCTAAGTGCCAATATGATGTCTAGAATTTGCTTCAAAAATCTCCAGCGAAACAGAGGGTGGGAATAAATTAAACAAGATTAGTTAAAATACAACTGCTGAAGCTGGGTGGTAGGTACAATTCGTTACACGTTATCTTTCATGTGTATCACAGAAAAGTTCCTTATTTTTTTAAAGACCTTTAAAAAAAGATACATGCAATGAACACGTCACAGGCTATGCTTCCTATTCAGCAATTGTGCAAATGCTTTAGGCGACCACACTTTTCCACCTTTCATGGTATATTGGTAATCTTTCTTCTTGTTAATAATTGGAAGATATTGCATATTTAAATTTCCAAAAAATGAATTCAGACTCAAATATAACTGTTCCTAAGTCTTTAAAAAGGTTAGAATATTCTATTTCCAAGTTTTTAAGTATTCAGATGTCTGACAGGTGACACATTACTTTTCCCTAGAAAGAAAACATCTCCCAATGACCATCTTAAAATATGCTCTCTCCTTAACACAAACTAGTTTCAACAGCAACTGTTTTCTCATATGTTAAAATGTTTTTCTAGGAGACAGATTTTTTGTTTTTAGGCCTACAAGGTATATTATAGTCACTTGGCATCATAGGAGAAAACAACCTCAGGGAATTGTGTACAAGAAAAATGCCTAACATTCTAGGGCAGCTTGTTTCCCAAAGGGTAACTAGCAAGCCTGTGAATGCCACGAGCTTCATAACCACTCCCCATCTTACTCCATCACCAGTTAACACAACCCACAAACTGCACAACCGGACGCTCCTAACTGTACTTGTTAAGCTGAAGAGAACAGGGCTCATCTGTGGTGTCCCCTTTAGAGCAGCTCCAGGCCCTGACAACTCCCGGGTTCACGGAGGTGGCAGCTGACCCCCAGGGCCTAACAAGAGGTTTCAAAGCACAAGCTTAAAACCCCTGGCACTCAGCCACTTCTTAGATAAACAAGCTCGGCGTCTCTTGTTTTAGATACCTAAGTAGTAAAATCTCATTTTACAGATGAGAAAACTGAGGCTGAGTAGTGACACCCAAACACTTTGGGGTTATACTCGGGTCATCTCACCCATCTAGCTATAGCTGGTCACAAGTTTCCAGGTTTAGGGCCAACACTGAATCTCCCTCCATCCCTTCACCTGCTGTTTTCTGAAGACTAGACATAGGCTGCACAGCGCTGGAGACAGTGACCATCAGGACAGAGGGGTTCAAGGCCAAGGCTCAGAGAACAGAGCCCAGGAAACACGGCTGCCTGGCCGGGAAGGGTGAGAAGCTTCACAGCACATCACCACCCAGGAAGTGAGGAAAACGTGCCTCATTCTGGACTGGGAGGCACCAGGCTTAACACGACAGGGATTAGCAGGGTTCAGACAGTAGCAACGAGGAAGGGGTGGATGGCTACGCCAAGGCCAAACAGCAAGGCTCTTGGTGACAGCTGTGGAAGAGCCCTCCCCACTCCCCACTGCAGGGACAGCACTGGCCATGCACATCGCCGTCTGGCAGGCCTGCACCCCTACACTGGCTCTCCAACAGCACGTCTGAGATGAGGCTCACAGGCCTGACCCGCTACAAAATGCAAACTACTGCCGGTTTGCCTCGGACTCACCAGAATTGAATTAGCTAGTCTCCACATAAGGCTAATTTGACGTAAAATTACTTGGGGTGACCTCGTTAAAAATGTTTCCTTACCCTATAGAAACAGGCAGGCAGATTTTACATGGTATGATGTTAAAGTCAGGCAATCCCTGAAGCCAACCTGGCACGAACAAAACTAAGGACATCTGCTCCACTGCCCACCATCTAGGAAGGATCAGGGGCAGCTGTGGCTGTCCACTGCGGCCCCAGTGCCTCCTGAGAGGACTAGAGTCCCAAGTTTACACACTATGTTAACAGAGCATTACAATCTCTTTACTCCCACTCTTACACTTGACTTTCAAGTCCATTTAAGACCTAACACAGATTTATGCACTAAAACCAAGGATTCATGGAAAAGGGAAAAGGATACTGCTTACTAGGTAGTTTCAGTTTGACAAGATAAAAAGTACTGGACATCCATCTCACACCAATGTAAATACACTTACGGCTAACGGACGAGACACTTAAAAATCGGTATGATGATCAAGTTTCTGTGTGTTTTTGTCCACAATAAAAAGAATTCAATGAATAAAACATTACTTCCAGATTTTGTTCTTGGGAAGAAAGTCTCTATCACGTCAGTTTTCAACGAGTTTGCTGGCCTGATTTGAGGTATTTCTGAAAGCTGTCCTTTCCTCTGAACTCCATTACCTTTGTAGTACAGCTTCCAGACCAGCTACAGCAAGCTGGGAGCAAGGCTGAAGGCTGATGTGACTCCTGTCATCCGTACCTCTGGAACCTGTGTATTTTTAGGTCGAACCACAAGGAAGTGCCAATATTCACGTTTTCAGCAATTTCATAGGATTACCTGTATTACAACAAAACTAGATACGAGCATATCCCCCCATGCATCACGTTTGCTGCCACAAACCACAGGCACCCTCTTGGTTGAAACCCTTCCAGGCAGCATCCGAGACTAATGACACAGACAAGTGTATACCCACCTCTGCAGCTTTGAAGAACATGCCTAAACAGAGTATTTTGAGTGATATTTTATTTAGTCATTTTTGTTTACAATTGAAACTCTGGGAATTCAAAATTAACATCCTTGCCAGTGAGCTTCTTATAGACACCAGAAAAAGTTTCCACCTACAAGGAAAGAAATAATTCATCACACAATTTTTAAACAAACACACACGTTCATCCGGAAGTCTCACTTTGTGAAACTATGCCCAGATGGGCTTTCTCCTCAGCAACCAGCGACTGAGCAAACAGGAATACACCGGACGTGCCCTCTGCATGCGCCAACATTGGGGGACAGGTGTCCACACTACCCACCCCAGAGCTGTGCTCCCTGGGCCACATGGACGGAGCCCCTGGAGCCCAGGAGGTGTCCACATCAGTTATGCCCCAGGAAGGAGTCCAGGGGCAGCTCTCCCCAGATTCTAACCCACCACTGCCCCACCCTAAAGGAGCATGGATGGCCTAACTGAAAGGCAGACTGTGGAAATACTTTACTTCCATTCTTCTAGTAACTTAAAAGATAAAAACTCCAATTTCTACAACATCCCCGATTTCAAACCCCACACACAATGCAAAGGGAAGTGGGCGGAGGACCAGAGGAGGAGAGAGCTGGTCCTGAGCTCAGAGGCACTGGCTCAGCAGGGTGCAGACCGAGGCTGCAGGCGACCTCACCACGTCTGGGCCTTTCACAGTAACGCTAACCTATTACCTTGTGCTCCACGTTGTTCTGCTGTGCTTTGTCCAAATGGACCTTGATGAGCCGGCTGCCGTCCAGTTTCACACGGATCCTCTTGCCCACAATCTCACTCGGGAACACCAAGTCCTCCAGGATCGCATCGTGCACGGCTGTCAGGGTGCGGCTTAAAGGGCACGGCAACAAGGGTAAGAAATCTTGCAAGGTCACCATCTGTGAGCCCTGAGCACACCTGGGACATCAACAGCAGCAACAGCCCATTCCTGAAACCCAGGGACACCGGTTCAAGCAGGCCACTTACACTGACTATATCACAGGAGCCGGGGCTGAGCCACAGCAGGTGACAGACACCGTCGGCGTGCTCCGGAAGGTTCTAACGGGGGACCTCACACACACACACCGACCACTGAGTAACCATCCCCAGGAACGGGAGACTGAGACTAACAAAGACTCTGAGCTTCACACATATTTCATTTATTTTCATTTGCATGACTTCCCGGCTAAATTATGGCAGTGACCCCTTCACTAGTGTTGCTCATGTCCAACACTGTCTCCCGACCACATTGTCAAATTACCTAACATACCAACATGATCACATAACCTACCTACCAAAGATCCTTCAAGAGCGCTCCTTGACCTCTGCAACAGCACAAACTCTTTCCTGTTCTCAACTGACCAAATAAAATATTCTCTACCTCAAAAGGTTCTATTCCGTCATCAGCTCTAGAACAACCCCTCCCCGCCTATGAAGGTCCCCAGTTTTCATCCCATCCCCTCAAACTGCCAATGGAATCTTGCTACTCTCCTGGTATTACTGTAAGTTTACAGTCTGGGATCCCAAACTTTTAAGGTACCTGCGACGCATCACAGACATCAGGAACGAGCGAACAACAAGACAGGTGTATTTCCAGCGTGTACAAAGCTGCCCTGTCATGGAACTGGTCTAGGGCTTAGTCACCCCTCCACAGACCACACACTATCCTCTCACTTCCCATGTGGCAGTTCCCAGACACACCACACACACTTTCCAGGGACTTTCAAGTGAGTACAAAGGTCTTAGTGGTCCAAGGCCACAGGCAGCAAGCTCACAGGAAATCCGCTTCCCAAAGCCTTCATTCCTTTTCAGAAAGCAAATACGACAGATCTGAGAGCTGCTACCCACTAATTAAGCATATTCTTATTCTCAGTGCTAGGAAGGCACACAGATACGGAAACCTGAACGTTATTTCCTTTAAAACATACATTGGGATGGAATCAAAGCCAGCCTAGCATCACCTCAGATTCCAACACGAAGGCCTCTTAAGAGAAAGAGCGATGGCAACGCAAGACCACAAACTGCTGAACGGCTTCACGGGAAAAACAACTGATTATCTCAGCATTTAATAATCCGAGGCGAAAGATGGCTACTGGAGGAGGAACACAAATCCGAGGGCAGGAAACAGGAACGCAGCAGAACCGCCGAGGCCCACCAGCCGGCCCCCGCGTGAAGGAGAGTGAGACTTCCAACGCCTCGAGGCCGCCCAGAGCGGGGGTCGGACTGGTGGCGTGGGAGGCACAGGTTTGGGCTAAGGATGAATTAAGGCTGCAGATTCGGGAATAAGTCCCTGGCTGGGGGCAAAGCAAAGGGTCTGTTTCACACTCAAGTCCTAACTCCAGTGCTCAGCTGAGATTACAAAACCACTTTTTAAGTATCATGACTAACAAACTGAATGTTCTCAGTTTTCTCCTGTATCTTGAGCTCTTGCAAACTACCTAGAACACAACACAAAAATCCTAAATTCTCACGTGCTCCAACTGCCCATAAATGAGTTCAAAGTACTAAAACCATGTAACTCCAGTTCGAAGCCTGGCACCTGCCTTCCAGCTCACCCACTACTCCCTTCTCGTCCCATCCCCACACGGGACACAGGACAAAGTGCCACCACCTGCTGCAGGGAGCCAATAACCCAAGTCAATGGAACCAGGAACTTTAACATAAACCAGAAGACCTAGATCAAGGAGCCAACTACCAATATCTGAGTATATGCCAGGTGACCTCTAGGTCAATCAAGTTTGTAAAACGCTGTCCATCAGCATCTAACCTACAACAAAGAAGGTTTCACTCATGACGTCACCAACAGAAAAGCTAACTCTGCTGCCTCGTTTCACAGCAAAAATACAAAGTGAACAAGAAACTCTGGGGCGCTTTCCCCCACAGCGCAGACCGAACGGTTCCATCTCACTGTTCTGGTCTCGGGCCAGAGACGCTGAGGGAAGTCTCGCCTCTCATGACAGCAGTGACCTATTATACGTCTATATAGGAGTACATGTAGTTCTTGCCTCCAGAATTTTAAACCATTTTACATATAATTATAGAAAACACAAGTTACTCAATAAAAATTCCCATGTGAATGGGTTTCCTAAACACCAATATCTAACTATAGAAATAGGCTACACCTCAATTACAATCAACCCATGGAAATGAAGAATTGTTAGTAAGAGTGCTGCATACATTTTTGATGCTGATAAAAAAACTCACCTCCTAGGACGCTTCTGCTTATTCTTTGTACGGCTTTTCCGAGTTGGCTTAGGCAGAATTCTCCTCTATAAGGTAGTATTGTGGAAACAAAAAAAAAAAAGAAACCTTAGCTGGCAAGAAGCTAAGAACTGTCAGTCTGCTTTAAAGGCAAAAAGACTATCTAGAAAGCCAAGCGACCTAGAGCAACAAGTTCTGAGAAATCCCACGAGGTACTTTGTCATTTCTCAGCAATTCTTTCAGAACCCCTGATATAATACTGGGAAAAATCACTTTGCACCGTGATTTGACCGATCTCGCTTTTCCACATTTAATCAGTCCCACTGCCAAGATCAGCAGTGACATGCCTGCTGGGCCAGACTCCTGACTCCTCGTTAGCCTCCCACCTCAGTCCCTACACTTCTGATGCACCAAGGCCAGATCTGAACTTTCCAACAGAACTTTCTTGACTATATTTACTTCTTCTAACATCAGTGCAGTTGGCATACGGCATGTTATTAGTTTCAGAGGTACAACACAGCAATTCAGCAATTACATTAGGAAATACCGTGGTGGGTGCAGGTACCAGCTGTTGACCCTCTTTCCTACAAACTATCCTTTACATCCCCTTTCTTCCCCAAGCTTGGCTCTGACTCACTTGACAGTCAGGAGCCTCAGGCAGGTGAGTCTATCATACAGAAAAATCACGGCTCAGATCAACTACATCTCAGTCTGATCGCCTCTAAGAATCCACTACACTTACGCTACTGTAAACACAAGAGACTACTCTGACATTAACAGCAGAAATTTACCTTTTTAACCCACTGCAAGCACAACTTTCACCAGCACCAAGGGTTACTTTAATTATTCCAACCACCAACACAAAATCTAGAACACAAGTAATTTTCATACAACTCACAAAATAAAATGTTGAACATTACAACAGCTACCTGAGCAATAAAGACAACGTGTTTCCCACTGAACTTTTTCTCCAATTCGCGAACCAGCCGGACTTGGATTTTCTGGAACGACTTCAGTTGAGGAACGGGAACAAAGATTATAATAGCTTTCCGACCACCACCAACTTCAATTTCCTGAAGGAAAAAAAAAAATCACACTATTGAGTTCATAACCCCATTCTTCCCACTCAAGCACCGTACTGAGCACAACACTGAACGCGAACACTGTCGTACGCGGACACCTGAATTTAAGAGCTCCTTTTTAAACCTAGTTCCAGCTCGTTTCTCACTGCCGGGTACCGCAACTCAACTGCCAGGCTTCCTCATGCCTCACAAAAATGACACAAAAAACTCTGTGAGGCTGTGTGACATTCCACTATGGGGAACAAATGTAAACTGCAAGCAAAAAAGAGGCTGGCTGTCCTCTGCACAAGTCTCTGCAAACGCTAAAACTGTTCAATGTTACTTTATCCAGCCATGAATTCAAAAGTATTAATTTCCAGTAACATGTACCACTTTTGAATACAAAGTAAACGTAGTCAAATTAGAAGCTGGTAAGTCTAACCTTGAATGTTGCAAGACGTGTTCACTTTTAGTGCAAACCTCTCAAGTCAATGGTAAGCGCGACCGTCCGAGAACTCACCTTTCTGCAAGGCGGTCTCACTC